ATTGTAAGCCATTTGGATACCTTGGCATTAATCAACAGGCGGCTTAAAAGATCCTGTCTAGGTAGAATTGATGACCAGCTGCAAGTGCTCATTTGTGTTAATTATTATTAACTTGCCTTGAATTATATGCTGAGAAACAGATGTTGTATCAGGGAAGGAAAAGGCAGTAGTAAACCTTGGGGTCATTTCCTACCAATAATGGCCTGTCCACACCATAAACCTGCACCAGTTTTAAATTACTTGGGCCATCTTGGTTCCCTGTTAAACTGTAATCAAGATTATTGAGAACAGTAGATCAGTGTTTCTCAACCTTGGTGACTTTAAGTCCTGTGGACTTCAACTCCCAGAATTCTTAAGCATAGCTGGCTGGGGGATTCTGGGAGTTGAAGTCCACAGGACTTAAAGTCATCAAGGTTGAGAAACACTGCAGTAGATTAATGAAGCTATGCATCCTTGGTATCTGTGACACAAATAAAATCCCCAGGGTTCACTTAGGTAGAAAGTATGGTTTTAAATCAATATAAGTCTATGATTTAGATGTGCTGTTGGCTATACTACATCAAGAACTTCTCACTGTAGCTCTACAAACAATGAGCACCACCTTATGGCAAAATAAGAACCCACGCAGCACCTTTTTCGTAATCCAGCATGTAAATAGTTGTTGTTTCTTTCTTGGCTACCACGTCTCCCCACCCCACCCCATCCCCAGCTATCAAAGTCACTACCAACACTATATAGTCAAAATCAGTAATGCATTCATACTACACATACTTTGAAACTATGTTATGCCATCTAAATGTACTGCTTGGTTTGAAGGTAATCCTGTTCACATCTAGTTTCCTGCAAACCAAGTTTCCACCTTCAAATGGTTTTTTCCCACCATGTTACTTCATGGTGCTTCTGTTAAAGTGCAAAGCATAATACCAATTTGCATCTAAGAGAACATATAATCTCACTAACTTGAATTAAATAATGTGTGTACGTGTTTCTTTCTTTAAATTCTTATTCAGGTTTTTCAACAGAATTACAAAGAGTTCAAATTCTGATTTAAAGAAGGAAAAAAGCAATAAGAAAGTGAAAAGGAAATATGGAAAGAAGGAAAAGAGGAAAAGAGGCATGCCATCTTTTAAAAAAAAAAACAGTTATATTTATATTTTACCTTCTCTAAGGTTACATCATACTTTTCCTTTTTTCCCATAAAGTATCCTTTTTAATCCAAACCCCAAAATCACATTCATCTTTCCCTTTTTTTCCAGCAGAAAGTGTCTAAGAAGCTTCCTCGCTAATAAATGTAGTTATTGATCTTTCTCTAGTCAAAAAATGTTGCCATCTCTGCTAGTTCTGTCACCTCAATCAACCAGTCCTTTTTTTGCTTTTGTGTTTTACGGGCCATTCCCAGCAAACATTCACATAAAACATCATACTGAACAATAAAGATGAATTATCGGCACTTGGAGAGATACAATGAGAGATGATTAAACGAAGAGCCTAACTTAAAAACAAAGCAAAACAAGGATTACTTCAAGCAGCTTCTTCTAGTACTACTACTACTTATTGTATTAAGAGAACAAACCATTAGCTAAATCTTATTTATTGACAGATTTTCAGGAGCAACGTATATATAAACTACAACAGGAGAATACCATAAATAGACAGTACATTCATTATTAATTAAGAAAAAAAGCTCACATCAAAACAATTCAGTTTATAACCAGAGTTACTGACTGAAAAAGTCAAATAAATAAGGCCTTTTCTCTATATATAACTCAATGCTATTGCACAAGTTTTTGTGGCAATCTCAGGAGTCATTTCTCTGCTAAAGAGTGATAGCAAGTCTAGTACACTCAAAATAGAATTTTCTAAAAAATCAAAAAGGGTTGCTGGATATTCCTTCTGCTTCAATTTTCCAGCGCCTTTTTTAACCCAGTTGCTCTAATTACGCTAATTTATCCCAAAACTGGTTTTGGGTTCTGTTTTTCACTATCATCGCTATAAATCTATGCCTTGGCTTTGGCCCAAAATTAAAGGTTCCAAGATAATTGGAGGGGGGTGGTGCAAAAAGACAATATTGCTTAAGACAAGGCAAGGGTTAGTAATGAAGATTCAGAGGTGTTTAAACAAGTTCCCCAAAAATGTTTTATTTTAGAGATGATCCCTTGCTCATTAATATTATTAGCCTCGGCCTCTTAACTGGGGGGGGGGAATACAAATAATAGGCTTTCCTTCCATATTTTCCACTTAAAAATATTGCTTTTTTTGCCTTGCAGCGACAAAAATTAATCTGCAGTTAGAGAGAGAGAGAGAGATGTCAAACCTATTCCATACGTATTATATAATCATTGCAGCTGGTAAGTACTGTAGGGAGTTCAGTTCAGTTGCCATAGTATTTGGCATATTGCTATGGAGCTGAGTTTTGATCTACTTATCATTGGCAGCAGCAAAAGAGAACCATATATTCTCGCATGGCAGATACATAGGGGCTTCAGATGGCAAATGCAAAAACAGAACCTTGCACCAAATAAAACACCACTGTGGATTTCCAACTGAGATGTTTATTAGGATGAAATTCTTGCGATTTTTCAGTTCTGCACGTAACTGGGGCGGGGGGGGGAGAGGTGTTCGCCACCAGCGTCAATCAAACATATCCTTGTTAACTCAGATTTCCTCCTCCACTAAATTTCTTTAGGGACAAGGAGAAGAGAGGTCATGCGAAGATGCCTTCAGTTCCGATAGAACGAACACAGCAAGCCGTCTTAGAGGAGAAACTGGTTTGTCTGTCTTGTTCAGTCCAACCAATTCTGGCCGGCTGGTCCTTCAAGTGAGGGTGTACTACAAATTCCACCTGGCAAGGGATGATGGGAGCTCAATAGTAGTCCTGGGCTGGGCCAGACTAGATCTCAAGCAAACCCCGTTCCAGGTTTGGCTACCCAAGAGAGGCAGGTGTTTTGAACAAACATAAATTAGGGAACACTGTAATCAAGGCGCCACCATCTCATCCAAAGGTTGTTTGCCTGTGACACCCACACAGCAAGTACCAGGAGTCTCTCTGCTCCAATAGGGGTGAGATGAGGAGGCAGAAATCAAAGGCTGCAGCAATGAGCTGGGGGGGGGGGTGGTCTTCCCAGGGGACCAATCCACCACCCTTTGATAAATACACCCCCTCTTAAGACTCTGTGACCTGGCTGTGGTTTAGACAACAGATGTTGAAACAAGGATGCCCACAAGAAACACACAAGCAGAGAGAGGTGCACTTCAGTTCCTAAACTAATAATGTTTAGTGCTTCCATCCAAGAAAAAGGGGCACCGTGCCCAAGATTCAAAGGGCAGCTTCCTTAAGAGGTGTTGCAGGAAGAAGGGAGAAAAAAGTTTTGAGTTTTCCCTCCCTCCCTTTTAAAATATACAGCTGTTATTCCACCAATGCTGCTCAAAATAATGTTTTCTGGTTAGAGCACTGTTAAAGGGTTGTAGGTTTTCTTTTAAATGATCCTCTCCTGACCCTCTCCAAAGAAAATAGCATCCCTAAACTAGAGGTTTTTTTTTAAATCTATGCACTGCCCAGTGTTTCAGGGTAGTCTAAAGGAGCATATAATAAAATAAAATTCCAGCCCTCTTGTCTTGCAACTGGGAGACCTCAGCAAAGGAGGGTAGCTTCAAAAAAACATGTAATGACTATGGCTTGCCATTGCTAGAGCTGGTCTCCAGGTTAGGGTCCCATTAGGTTTGGGGTGTTGTTGTTGTTGTTGTTGTGTTATTCCCATGAATGCAGGGGAGAGGAATGTAGGGAAGAATCAAGAGTCTCTTTCTCTGAACAAGGTTTTTGGACTGTCCCCTTCACCCACCCACCCCCATGTGGCAATCCCCCTCCCCATTTTAGAAGACT